AAAGGTCCAGCTCTATTTCGCTGAGAATTGTGGGTGATGTGACGTCATGGTCCCGTGACTCCTCATATGCATTACGCCATCTTGAAACTCCCATCTGAAATTCATCTCGTTTTCCTGTGATTTGTACACATTGGTGTCTTTCCGTCAACCGAAATAGTTGAATAATTACAGTGGTATGTATGATAATTTACTTATATTATAAGTGCTGTGCAATTAAGTTGTGTGTCTTCATATTAACGGTACTCCGCTATCGTGTTAAAGTCGTGCATATCGCCCTAATACAAATGAACGAACGAATCACCTGCCTGAGCGAGTCGATGCCTTCGTTTCTCAACTGTTAAAATTACCAAATTGTTTCGTTAATTTGACTTTTGTTTAATAGTGGTTTAATACTTCATAATGTCTGAATTAGGCGAAGTTTTGTGTCGTTAATTAAGAAAGGCTAAATAGCTGATACGGTGACAACCACGCAATCTGTGGTCTTCCATTCAGGTCACGCCGGGATTGGTTTCGCCATCGTGTCATCGACTTTACCATTGTTTTTATGGCGAGTTGTAGTGTAAAACCTCGTCTATATGTATTACCTTTTGTTTTAATTATCATGAATTGTGTATGCATTGCCGTCGATTCACCGCTGCCTTTGTAATTATATTACACTAGGCGAAACCATTTAAATCAATGCCGTGGCGTAGTATGAAATTACTTCCGGGTCTTGTGATCTAAAGCCATAATTTTCGCAGATCAGCTGCGCACAATGACGTACTCGCCGTACTTCAATCTATGATGAATACTTTCCAATAATATAACTGTCGCAATGTAGAAAAACTTCATTTATTTTCATTCATGTGTTTTAATAACACACCTGGGTTTGACAATGTTTTTTTTTAAATATTCAAGACAATTAAAACAATAAACCTATTGCGATTTTTCGATCAGTGTGCTAACATTGAACTGTTCGGTTCGTCATAAGTGTTTTGTTTTGCAACAAAACTATTTTTTGTGTGCTGTTTATTGTCGAAATAAACAGGTGTAGGCCTTTTTATCTGACTGTTTGATCTATCATGTGCCACATGAATAACGGGATTTCAGTCCCGTAATCTTTTCATTGGTTGCTGATCACATCATGTGTAAAAGCTATGAAGTCCCTATCTGAGCTTAAAAAGTCATCTGAGAACAACTTCTTGATTGTTATTTTACAGTTTTCCATGTTATAATCATGCATAAAATCTGCAGTACCTAAAAATATAAATGTTTTGTTTTTTTCACTTTTTTCCATCAGAATATTTAAAGAATGTCTTCTAGAAAGAAGGTATTATTGAAAGTTATTATACTTGGAGACAGTGGGTAAGTATTATTGAACTGACCTGGTTGCAGTGTGTTAGATTTCATCAGTATCAAACAAATAACCATAGTTGCAATAGTTCATTTATGTCTAACACAGGATTGCACATGATGGCAATCTTTTGTGAAGTATCTGTAAAATGTGTTGCGTTGAGGTACAGGTTAAATACAATTTTGCAAGATTTGATTACAATGTTCTAATAAATGTAAAATATTATGCTGACACAAAGGATCACATTGCAGTTAGTAGGGCAAAGATCATTTTGTGTTTGGATCATGTGCTGGCTACATTATCAACAAAGAAAATATGAATTGTACTACAAAGTTTTTTCCTGCCATGCACTGATCAATTTTAACTTTTGAACTTTGATTTTCGAGTACAGGAAACAGGGATTATTTTAACTGTTTATAACATGCAGTAAAATAACAATGCAACTGCAGAATGCACTGGAATAACTGAAACAGTGTTGTCAGACCATTTTTTTTCTTCAGTTTCTGGATGCGCTCATGATTCTTGATAAGACTAAATTATTTACCAAAATAAATTGTTGTGAATATATTATTAATTTTTTCATATTGAATGTATTCAATAGAAGTCTCTCCCTATGTCAACTCGGAGGATACTTCATTCATACTAGCTGTTCGCAAATACTTCGTTAGGCCCTAATACGAGTCTAGCCCAGATTAGCAGCCTTCATGCAGGTTTTCTTAGTATAGACTAACGTTTTTAACCTGTGCATGAACACAACTATTGATTCAAGAAATATTGTTGGCAGATTTTTTTTAGGTTAATATCTTAGAAATTTTAATTCATTGTGTTCTTCATTATATCAGATTTTATAAAAGGTGTAATATTTTTATAATTTCAGTGTTGGAAAAACATCTCTTATGAACCAATATGTAAACAAAAAATTTAGCAACCAGTACAAGGCTACTATTGGAGCTGATTTCCTCACAAAAGAAGTCATGGTAGATGACAGGCTTGTCACAATGCAGGTAAAGACAAAATATATCACTTCTACTGATATGTCACTCATTATTAACCCTGAACACTAAAGTAAACTTTTGTCAAAACTATATGTATGTCCATTTCTTCCAAAGTTATCAAAACAATTGTAGGAAATGCATAAAAACAAAGCAAATGAGACGTGAATCTATGGTCTAAATAATATTTCAATGATTTGCATACAATAAATTTAAATTTTTGCTTTTAATATAGTAAAATTTCTTTATTTGTCCTTTCAATCTTCAGCACATGGGAATTCTTTTTA